TCCAATTCAAGAACAGACAGACCAACTTTGAACATAAAAAGCTTTCATTCGCCCATTTTCATGCTATTATACTGATTCTAATGATAATCTCTCTGGAAATCACATCCGCAAGCAGCAAGATCCTCTTCCTCATGACGTTCTGGTCTGGAAATACCCAAGAAGGAACAGAATTTACGAGATTTAATTTCTTTCCAAGGAAGATAACGACTATATAATTTTCCGATCAGTGGTCATACTCAAACGTAACAATCCCGAACGAACTTTTCCTGAAGATGCAGTGAATCCTATTTCTGTAATCTGTGTTGGACATCAACACGAAATACGTTCCAATGGCAGGATAAACCCTAAAACTTATCATACCCACCTGGTAAACGACTGTAAGGAAACTGTTTGTGGGCACATAGGGTATAGAGTACATACTTACGCTTTCTATGTGGAGAGCATCGCAAATGTTGTTGCACATCATAGGAATGGTAAGCCTCAAAAACATGGTCATCATCTATATACCTAAGCTCACTAAATTTTCAAAACAGAGTAACTCACGAAGAAGAGAACCATCTATGAGCCTTCGTTGGTAGGCTAAGCTTTGCCGAAGTCCTGTAAAGAAACAATTTTAATGAGTGGAAATGGGCTCCACCAACTGAATGAATCCATACTAATATCAACATACATACTCTGTTGACATCGTTCCATACTCTCACGCGGGTTTCATCGAGCTCTGTGAGCTGTCTGCGAGAAGACATAATTAGCTGAATATAATTCTGATATAGCATGCTTTGAAAGTGGCAAGTTAAATGATTAAATATATGACTCATTTCATCCCGTTTTCGGGTACTTAACCAATCACTATGCGAAAGTCAGAACTCAACACAAAAGCTGAGAAGTAATCAAGTATAAGAGAGGAAACAAATGCGAAGAAAAATGAGCTAAACTTCCTTTTATGAAAACTTACGTGATCAGACGTCAGAACTGCGGCCTTCATCCTGATCTTCTCTTGATTAGTTTTAGATTCTCAAATTTTTCTAGGAATTCTGTATATCGCTTCTCACACACTGTTTAAGACCAATCCTGATCCAGGTGTTGCAAGTCAGACCCACAAGCAAATAGCTGAGTGCATATCATTATAGTGCATTTGTGCATAAGTGAATAACAAAGTCAGAACATATGTAGCTGTGATCCTTCCTCTGTACTTCACAGAATATTTCTCCATTCCTCGGAAGTAAGGATGTCATACTATCCTGAGTTTCGGACTATCGGACTTGACGCGTCGAGACAGACAGCTTCAAACTCTGCTCTCCTACGTCCGCTCAAAGTTTATTATCAAAATTTTCAAAGTTTATTACTAAAACTCAGTATTTGAATATTTTAATGACGTATTCCCACATCTGCAGTTTCAGGTCTTGGTCCATATCCTGATAGACCTCAGTTTCAACGAGCTTCATCATCCAGCCGGAAGATTTAAGAGGAACTTGTTTCTTTGTATACATATTCTGGAAATCCAGTTCATTCAAAGACACGCCTTGGGAGTTCGCCTACCTTCAAGTTTTCAATGGAGTATCTCCAAGACAGAAGCAAGATTTCTAGTTGTATTGTCTCAGTTATACTTGGGCTCAGCAGCAGTGATTCCATGTATTGGTGGCACAATTGAACGATATGATTCACTTCGAACTTGTGTCCCCAATGAAGCAACTTTCTAAAGTTATGATCTGAAAGCATAAAGACTAAGTTCGAACCACGAT